TGGGTGACTGAGTGAGACGCCAACTCAAAAAAAAAAAAAAAAAAAGAACACATCTATACAAATGATATCGGACACATTCACACTCCTTCACATAGCCCCATGCTACTCACAGACCCCCTGCACACACATGTGAGCACATGCATTCAAGTGTATACCTCAGAGCCACATTTCTAGACATACACGTACACCTGATATATATACATGGCTGCATACACACTCTGTGCGCACACAGTCACATTATACAAAACAGTATATGCACACATGTGTGCATGTACACATTTAATACTAGGGCTTGCTCGTATGTGTGTGTCACAGCCACACACCACACATGAAGGCAAGGACACACACAGGCACATGTGTGCTCACCATGTACATACACATACACAACTGAGTACATTCATACATGATGTGTTGGGTCACCAATTCTGCCCTCAGGTTCAGTAGTTTGCTAGGATGATGACTCACAAGACTCAGCATCTAGCCTGACTCATGGCTCAGACTTATTACAGTGAAACAACACAAAGCAAAATCAGCAAAGGGAGACAGGCCTGGGGTAAAGTCCCGAGGACACCAGGAGCAAGCATCCAAGATTCTTCTCCCCATGTGGAGTCACAGAGGATGCACTGAATTCCTCCAGCATTGAACCATGACAATACATGTGAGGTGTTGTCTGCCAGAGAAGTTCACTGGAGACTCACAAACCAACGTTTTACTGGGAGCTGGTCATACAGGCACCAGTGTCTAGCATGTGCCACAGTTCCAGACTCCCAACAGGAACACAGCTTAAAACATGTTGTTTATTCAGCTTAAACCATATTATTTATGTATTAGTCTACACACAGTGAACGACTCTTATTAATTAGGGAAAGTTTTATGTCAGTGTGAACTGTTGGTGAACTGTTCACCATTCAAGTTCTCAGACCCTTGCCAAGGGCTAATTTTGCAAGCAGACCTTTTGGAGGGTAGCATTCTCAGGTCTGTTGTGTTAACTCTTCCATACACATGCAGTCACTCACCACACATTAAGGGAGGTGTGTACACTCATGTATGCCTCAGAGGCACATGTGTGGATGCATACACACTTGTGTTCACCATATGTGCATGTGAGTCTGTACACACATTTACACTCATATATATGCTCACACTGTCAAATACCACACAAAGGCATGTATACACACCCATGTGTATGCAGATGGGCCCCCACACATGGCATATTCTATGTGCATGTGCTTGGACTTACAGAAACAAACAATTATGCTCATGCACATGAGTGTATGCTCACACATGTCTTATGTGCATACATGTGGGCACATTCATTCTTACCTGTGCCCAGTTAGTCACATATCATACACAAGGGGTTGGGCATACTCATGTGTGCATACACAGCTGTACTCATACTTGGGCACAGAGAATACTCATACTTGCACACTCACAGGCTTATGTGTACACACGTGGGCACAACACACACATACCTACCCATACGTGCAGATGCATGCAGGTATGTACCCATTCATCCCACTTACACACATACAAATACACACATACACAGGGTCCCAAGCTATTCTCTCAGCATGACCACTGGGGCCCTGAGATCTCTTTCATGTGGTGAAGTCATGGCTAGAACAACCCACAAAAGAGATCTTAGCCCAGAACATGCACGGGTCCTTAAATGCAAGTGATAAAAAATGGGCCCAGCAATGCCAGTTACCTGGACTCTCCGAATTCTGATTTTTTTTTTTTTTTGGCAGAAGAAAGCACTTTGAGGCTTTCTTTGGAAGACCCATTGGAGCACAGAAAGGTCACAGGAGACATAGAAGCAGAGCTCCTTCTAACGAATGGGCTCAGTTCTGGCACCAATTTCTCTGTGGCCCCAGCAGGCTGCACCCTGCTCTGATCAGCTTCTGCCCCCATATTTTGGCACACTGGGCCAGTAAGATCTCTGACAGCATAGTCCTTTGACAAAATCCAAAGATCAACAAAGCCAGGAATTCTAGCTTTGTTCTCACATAGAAAAATTGAAGGTAATATGTAAATTAATAAGTAAGAGTACCTTATCTATCTCCAGACCTTATAGAAGAAATGGATAAAAGGAGAAAGAGTCTTATGTGTGCCAGCCCATTTTGCAGCAGCCAATGGAAAGGCTGAGACGTTCTGAAGACATAGTCAGTGGTTGGTCATGGGTGAGGGTTTCACCTTCTGGAGGGTATGTGGACACGATAGAGGCAGAGGCACAGCACTCTCCTCCAGAAGTGGTGGTAGGGGGCGTTCTCTCTATCAGGACAGAAAATTGAACATTAAGCCTAACACTGCCCTGAAAGCCAGTGATAGTGTCTCTCCTCTCCCCACCACTAGCCCCTGACACTCATGCACACAAGGAAGTGTCTGGTTTGAAAGAGCTTATGATGACAATCAAGAAAAATGTATAATAGTTAGAAATCATGAGCCAGGTGTGGTGGCATGTGCCAGTAGTCCCAGCTCCTCAGGAGGCTGGATCACTTGAGTCCACCATGGAGTTCCAGGCTGCAGTGAGCTGTGATCATGTCACTGCACTCCAGCCTGGGTGACAGAATAAGACCTTATCTCTTTAAAAAACAACCAAAAAAGACACCCCTAAAAGCCACCACAAATACGGCAAAATGGCAGTACAGATTTGTACACAATGTGATGATGAGGGAAAATACAGGAAAGTGGAACTTAAAAAAAAATTCTAGTGGCCAGGAGCACATAGCCTTCCCCTCTCAGGAGCAGAGCTAGCCAAATGCTGAAAATTATCCCAAGAAAAAAGAAGAGAAACCTTGAAAAGTGAGAAGGGGATCTAGGGACTGTCCCTTCCCCTGTCTTGGGTAGGGTGTCCCTGACCTGTTTTACTCCTGCAGCCAGGGTCGGATGCTAGGCTGACCCTGTGTTTTCTTTCCTGAAGGAAGTGTGCCCTGGCAGCCCTCTGTGACGTCCGGCGGTTCCTTAGTGAAGAGGGGGGACATGTGGCGGTGAGTGTGACACCCTGGTGACATCTGGGAGTGACATTTGGAAGCTCACTCACATCTGTGCTTTTGCTCATCAGGTGTTTGGAGGGGAAAGCAGGGTGTGTGTGCCCTGGGTGCGCCCCTGGGTGCCAGCCCTAGGAGGAAGTCTGCAGCCGCTATGCAGGAGGAAGCCGCAGGCTGGATCTGGGCCAAGATTTTACCTCTGGGCGTGAGGCAGTGCAGGACTTCCCTCTGAATACTTGTATCCTTAGCCATCCCAGAAATTACCTAAGTCTTTAGTAAATGTGATTTCTCCTGGTGTGGGGAGAGTCCTGCCCAACGTTTACTTGCTGCTATAGGAACCTGCTGAATCCTGGTAAGGGAATTGCACCTGTGTGGGACCCCTCTGTCAGGTAGAAGGGTGGGACAGGTCTAAACTGGGGTGTCTGGGGTAAAGGGCCCTACCCCAACTCTACACAGTCAACCACAGGAGGTATTCTTTGCCTTCCTTTCTCTTCTTGGAGCCATTCATGCCTCCTGGAGCTCTGACCCCAGCTCCAATCTGGATTCATTGCCTGGGACACAGCCATCCCCTAGATTCCCCTTTCCTCTCTCCTGGGTTGAATGCCCCACTCCTGGATCCCATGTCATCCTCTCCTTGGCTTACTGACCTGTTTTGTTGAAGCACATCCTCTAGTGTCTTCCTGAGAAAGGCTCTTGGGAAATAAATTGTGTGAGATCTTGTGTATTTGAAATGTCTTTTTTTAATCGTTACATTTGATAGTTGGGTATAGAATTCCTGATGGGAAGTACTTTTTTATTTTTAGTTGAAGTCTCACTGTATCACTCAGGCTGGAGTTCAGTGGCACCCTCACAGCTACTGCAGCCTCTACCTGCTGGGCTCAAGTGAGACTTCTACCCCAGCCTTCCAAGTAGCTGAGATCACAGGCCGGTACCACCATGCCCAGCTAATTTTTTGATTTACTGTAGAGACGAGGTCTTGCCAATTTGCCCGGGCTGATCTTGTACTCCTGGACTCAGGCAGTCCTCTTACCTCTGACTCCCAACGTGCTGGGATTACAGGTGTAAGCCACCACTCCTGGCGGGAAGTACTTTTCCCTTAGAACTTCTACTCTCACGAGACATTGTTCTGTTGCTTACAGTTTCTGTCATGGCTGTGGAGAAGTCAGATGTCATTCTGACTTGCTGATCTTCCTAAACTTTCACCTCTTGGAGGGAGCCGGGGGCTTCTCATTCCCCTTCCTCTTGGGAAACCTTTAGGGTTCAAAGTGATATGTCTTGTGATGGGTCTTCTCTTTCAGCATGCTGGGGGCCCCTTTCTACGAGAAAACTCTTGTCCTTCAGGTATTATTTATTTGATAAACCACCTTGGCCACTTCTTGGCAACTCATTCCCCTGTAGTCCAAGTTTCTGAACTGCTTTTTCTAGAAAAAAGCAGCTAGATTCATGCTAGACTCGATCCTTAACTTTATATTTTTTCCCCTTATTTTCTCTCTTTGTCTTTTGTTTTGAAAGAGACTACCACAACATTATCTTCAAGTATTTGGTTGAGTTAAAAAAAACAAAATTTGTCAGGCTCGGTAGCTAAACCTGTAATCCCAGCGCTTTGTGATGCCTAAACGAGTGGATTGCTTGAGCCTGCGGGTTTGAGACCAGCCTGGACAACCTGACGAGACCTCGTCTCTACAATAAATGAAAAAAACTAGCTGGGCATGGTAGCACACACCTGTAGTTCCGGCCACTTAGAAGGCTGAGGCCGAAGGATCCTAAGAGCCCAGCAGGTCAATGCTGGGGTGGCCGTGAGCATGCCACTGCACTCCAGCCTGGGTGACAGAGTGAGAGTCTAACTCAAAAAAACAAATTTTTTTTTTTTGGCCAGGTGCGGTGGCTCATGCCTATAATCCCAGTACTTTGGGAGACTGAGGTGAGAGGATTGCCTGGGCCCACAGGTTCGAGACTAGCCTGGGCAACTTGGCGAGACCTCATCTCTAGTATAAAAAAAAAAATTAGCAAGGCATGGTGGCGCATGCCTGTAGTTCCAGCTACTTGGAAGGCTGAGGCAGAAGGATTGCCTGAACCCAGCAGGTCGAGGCTGAGGGTGCTGTGAGCTTGCCACTGTACACCACTTGACTGGGCGACAGAGTGAGACTGCGACTAAAAAAAAAAAAAAAATTCGGTGACCATATTTAAATGTCTTGTTCTTTAAGTGTCCTAATTTTTTAGAACTCTGCTCTTATTTCATAGTTACTATATCCTTTTATATCTCCCTTTGGATAATAAGTGTAAGTTTTTTGGACATTTTCTTCTGTTCCATGCCCTGTCTTCATTTTCTCCAAGTCCCTTTTTTCTGTTTGATTGATTTAGTCTCTATTTTCTCATTAGAGGTTTTGCTGGAGTGTCTGGTAAGCCCTGATCAGATGCCCTTTTTATTTTTATTATTATTATTATTTTTAGTAGGCATCTCACTCTGTCACGCAGGCTGGAGTGCAGTAGCACACTGCTCATGGCCACCACAGCCTCGACCTGCTGTGCTCAGGCAATCCATCTGCCTCAGCCTTCCAAGTAGCTGGAAACACAGGCATGCGCTACCACACATGGCTGATTTTTTGATTTACTGTAGAAACGAGGTCTCACCAAGTTGCCCAAGCTGTCCTTGAACCCCTGAGTTCAGGCAATCCTCTTGCCTCGGCCTCCCAAAATGCTGGGATTACAGGCTTTAGTCACCATGCCTTGCCATGGATGCCCTTTTTAAAAAGTGATGCTGGAATTCGAGACTAGCCTGGGTAACATATAGCGAAAAACTGTCTCTATTTAAAAACGAAAAAAGAAATTAAAAGAAAATTAGCCAGACATGGTGGAGCATGCCTGCAGTCCTAGTTACTCATGAGGCTGGGAGCAAAGAAGGGAGTGGGGAGGTGGGGATTGCTTGAGCCCAGGAGTTTGAGATTACAGTGAGCTATGATCGTGCCACTGCACTCCAATCTAGGTGACAAGACTGAGACCCCATTTCAAAAAAAAGAAAATAGGCCGGCTGTGGTGGCTCATGCCTGTAATACCAGCACTTTGGGAGGCCGAGGTGGGAGGATTCTTTGAGTCCAGGAGTTCAAGACCAGCCTACGCAATATAGCAAGACCCCCCCCATCTCTACAAAAAAGTTTAAAAAATTAACTAGGTGTGGTGGCATGCACCTGTAGTCCCAGCTACTTGGGATGCTGAGGTGGAAAGATCACCTGAGCCTCTCAACCTTGTCCCTTTTTTTAGAGATGCTGGTGCTCTGTTCCTGAGGATCCTGGTCCCACACAGGTGGTGTGCTCTGGTTTGGTTTTCTCCATTTCTGATTCAGTCACCGTGTTTCTGTCTTATAAAATTTTGTCGACATCTCCATCTCTTGCCTCTCTTGTTCTCTTTATCCTTCTATTTCCATTTTACTGGGGTTTCAGGATGGAGTGAAAATAAATGTAGGCTCAGTTTATCAGATTTAATTAATTTCGCTGAAATTCCTGCTAGCCATACATGAACTGAAGACCTGCTGTGGACAGAACAGTGCTGAGTATGTTCTTCTATGTCCTGGGTCTGCCCTCTTGCTAGGTACACAGGCACCCACTTTTTCCAGCTTCCTTCTTCCCCAAATAAGGGGAGAACTAGCCCAGCCCTTGCAATTCTGAAGGAGACTGGCCAGGCAGGTGACCCCAGGCAGCAGCTGGACCTGGCAAGAAATCCAGTCCCTGGCCAGGTGCAGTGGCTCACGCCTATAATCCCAGCACTTTGGGAGGCCGAGGTGAGAGGATTGCCTGAACTCACGGGTTCGAGACCAGCCTAGGTAACTTGCTGAGATCTCATGTCTACAATTAAAAAAAAAATTAGCCAGGCATGGTGGTGTGTGTCTGTAGTTCCAGCTACTTAGAAGGCTGAAGTGGAAGGATTACCTGAGCCCAGCAGGTTGAGGCTGCAGTTGCCATGAACGTGCCACTGTACTCCATACTGGGTGACAGAGTGAGACTCCAACTCACCAAAAAAAAGAAAAAAGAAATCCCGTCCCCAGAGATGCCTATGCCACAGTCCTTGGGTGACCTTCTACCTTCCCCGGGGCCAAAGGCTGAGTTAACCCCAGTTTGGTCCTAGGTTTTTGATGCAACAAATACCACCCGAGAACGGAGAGCAACCATTTTCAACTTTGGTGAACAGAATGGCTACAAGGTGAGATCTCCTTGTCTCCTTGCCATGGTGGGGCTGTGACATATCCCAGCCCTCTGAGCCTCCTTTCAAAGCCTCCTGATGCATGCAGGGTATTGGGCTGGCACGACTGCTGAGTATGATTTGGGATGAAAGGGGTTACTCTTTTCTCTCCTCCTGGGATTTTCTTTCCAGGGGGAGGGGGAGTCCTGGTGGAAGAGTCAAGGATAGGGTAGATTCTTTGCCACCCTACAGAAGAAGGATCTCAGGGCCTGGCTTCAGTCAGCATGCCTTTGACAGGGCAGAGAGCTCCCGGAGCGAGGCCCAGGGCCCTGAATGTGTTTGTGGTTCCTTCCTTCGTGCTGCCCTGGTGCTTCTGGTCTTTACTGCAGACCTTTTTTGTTGAGTCCATCTGTGTGGATCCTGAGGTCATAGCTGCCAACATCGTGGTAAGTGGTGCGTCTGATCATGTCGCGGGCAGTAATAAAAGAAAAAATGACTTGTGACAGGGAGGTGCCTCTCTAGGTTTTGGTTGCCCTTGATTTGATCTTGCACCTTGCAAGGTAGGGAGGCAGTATAACCTTGTTGTTAGATCAGGTGAGCCTTGACCCCTGAAGACCACTGCGTGGAAGGCCATGTGGCCAGTGAGCATTCATTCTTGCTCTTTCCCCTCTCTCCCTCCTCCTCCTGGCTCATGATCCCCTGTACAGAGCTGCAGCTGGGTGGCAATATTATATCTGGGAGAAAGAGAGATTCATCCTTCCCTCCCCTCCCCCAGTTTACCTGAGGGATGACCATTTGGGTTTCGGATGATAGTTCAGGGTGGGGAAGGGCTTCCAGGTCTCCCATGTACCATAGAGATGAGGGACTCCCATCTCAGGGTGGTCACTCAGTGATATCCTCTGGACAGTGGTGAGGAAATTCAGACCAGAGAGGTGCTGGACTCTTCCTATTGGGAGCAGCCCCCTAGGTCAGCTTCTAAGGCCCGCAGCCCTGGCCTGGCCTCCAGCCCAATCTCCCCCAACCCGTGCCCACCAGTCTCCTTGGTTTCTGGCCCCACCTGGCTTTTGACCTTAATGTGTCTTTGCTCTGTGCCTGGCTTTGGCAGCAAGTGAAACTGGGCAGCCCTGACTATGTCAACCGTGACAGTGATGAGGCCACGGAGGATTTCATGAGGCGCATTGAGTGCTATGAGAACTCGTACGAGTCGCTAGATGAGGACTTGGACAGGTGAGTGAGGAGAGTATCATGTCCTGCAGCTTTGATGGGGAGTGGTCCTGTTAACTGCCTCCTGGTGGCTCCCATGGCAGTGGCTGGGGGACCACATCAAAAGGCAGAGGTGGTCTGACCTTTTCTGTTTCTTTCTTGGGGGGCAGAAATTGTTGGCCAGAGATGACTTGCAAAATGCCTATCTCATCTGGAACTCTGCAAGTCAGCCTTTCATACTATTCCATTATAAAATCTAGCCTAATTTCAGGAGGGTCTTCCCACAAGGTGTTTGTAAACATTACTACTCTTCTTAAATGTGAGTCTGGTTTTTGAGAAGTGGGGAAGGGATGCCCAGATACTGCCTGTGAGCAGCTGGTGGAGGCAGTGCTTGCTAGCTTCACCTGGCCTCTGAAATGGATGGTCCCGCAGAAGTATTGGACGGTGCGGGGTTTTTACAACCATAAGAGGCATTCAGCTGAGGTCATAGAGCAGGGGTCAGCAGACTTTTTTCTGTAAAGGATCAGATAGTAAATATTTTATTTAGGCTTTGGAGGGTATATAGTCCCTGTTGTAGCTACTGAGCTCTGCTATTATGGCATAAGCAAACATAGATAATATGCAAATAAATGGGCAAGATGGCATTCCAATAAAACTTTAAAAGAACAGCCGGGCATGGTGGCTCAAGTCTGTAATTTCAGCACTTTGGGAGGCAGAGGTAAGAGATTGCCTGAGTAGCCAGGCTGGGTGGCTCAGCCTGTAATCCCACGCCTTTGGGAGGCTGAGGTGAGTGGA